AAAATTTCCTCTTTACTGTAATCTTAGGAACGTGAGCCTCTGTTCACAGGTGCTAACAGTTCACTCAATTACAATTAGGCCATTACTCCTCTCTGAAGATGGAAGATAAACAGTAGATTCATCTTTTAGTGAGTGAATTGTAAATAATTGAATTTTTAAATATAATTTGTTTCAGACACATACTTGAAAAATCACTTTCATGTAGCAAATTTTAAAATATTTCTCCAATTATTTCATTATCATCATTATTATCACATTAAATTATTTTAAGTGTTAAATTTATGGTATGGTCTTAATATGATAAAATGCCTAACCTCCACTTGTTAACTTGCATTTCACTAACCTTGTCTTTAAACTGTCCCAAATCACACAAAATTGTAACATGGAAGAAACATCAATTTTCAGCACTTATATTAATAGATAACCTTATCTTCCAAGATTATTATATTGATATAATTTAAATCTCACTAGCTTTATATTTATGTATACATATACAGGTATGAATTTATATGTGTATAATATAAAATGGGTCCTTTGTGGTCCAAGTGGCATTACAAATAATATTAGTTTATAATAGTTTATAATATTAGTCAATGAAATTATGTTTTTCCGTGAAATATTAGTCATTTTCTAGTTAAAACAAATAGAATTTCTATTATGAATACCAATGTGTTTTGAGAAAAAAATGAAATGATCCACAATGAATAACCTTTTAATTATTCCCACTGTGTGCTTTGGAAGCCATCATGCCTGGAATCCCTCAATTACTAGGTCCCCAATGACATGAGAATGCATGCCAAAGCCTAAGATTGTAGTGGAAATTACTCATCCAGGTAATTGTCATGCAGGAACGGGCTTTAATGGTACAAAAATAGTTTTGTGCATCTGAGAGGAAGAACTACTGGCCTGTCTCTAAATAGAGGAGAAACGGCTTTTATTCATTAGCATTGAACTCCTAAAATAATCACTTTTGTCTCTCTGGCCTATATTTTATAGTATTTACTAGGTATTTAATGTACTCTGTTGTCATAGCTATGTGAAACTCAAGCCATAGATAGCTACCCAACAATAGTTTGGATAAATTTACTTTCTATTCTAAAACTGATTTGTTATATATTTAGGAAGCAATTTAGTGAATGATAACATTTTGATTGGATCTTTTTCTTCATTCCCTTTTAAAGTAAGAACCTAACATTCAGTGTCTCCTAATTTTACCCTAACTGAAGTCAGTGTTTCAAGATTGCCACAAATCATATCACCATGCCATATTGATTATTTTGACAGAAAGTACCTAGATGGCTGAAAAGAGAAAGATGCTCTCCTACCTGTGTTTTTGAATGGAAAAGGTGTTCACAGGGACGTTCTCACGAATGCCAGCCCTGTTTTCCTTCAGCATTTCTGTCTCAAAATTTTTCTCCTATAACCATTCTGTTGGATTTTTTTAAAAGATCTATTTATTTATACATATGATAACTGCAGTGTAGGCCAGAGGTGCTGGGGGCAGTTGAGAGGGTTCACCAGAGACCTGTTCTGGGGGCCAGAACAGGCAGATCACTGAATACACTGCTGAGAGGAGCAATAGGCCACAGCAGACCTCTCCTGTCTCCTCGATCTGCCTGTTCTGCTCCCCACTTTGTCTCTGAATCCTCTCACCGCCCCTGAACCTCTGGTCTACACCCCAGCTCTGTATACATTAATAAATAAAAGTTTAAAAAACAGCAAACAAACAAAAATCTTGCATTTGAAGATGAAATTGAGGACATGTATGCCTGCAAAATATATTTCAATCATTCATATTTTTGCTGTATATTATTTGCTGCGTTTACTTTCATCTCATGATAATAACTATTTACAAGTTTTGACTGGGAAACATCAAAGCTTAAAAATATGTTTCGATCTGCGCACTCCCTGTCAGTATCCACAAGACACAACACAAATCACTATCAGTTTTAAATTCCCTTAAGAAACTTGGTTTTGGGTTTCTGACTCGTAATAGTTTTCATGAGCATTTCTGCTGCATCGTGGTAAGCCACCACAGCCGCTCATGGCTGCCTGAGCACACCAACATACTGCAGCATTACATTCAGGGCACAACCCGGTGCAGCACCAGGGAGGTGGTGGATAAGAGATTTAAATGGTATCACAGCCACTCTCCTGCATTCCAGAATATCCTCTACTACCTTTACCGCATATCGGCAATAAAAATTTCACTCTACACTCAAGAAAAATCATCTGAGCTAGCAAGAGCCTTAGAACTCTAAGTTTCATATTTAAATTCTTTTATGAATAAGATTTAAAACTTTAAGTCAATCATAAGTTTGTTTGTATATGAGATATATATATATATATATTAAATTTTTGCTGCACATGTACTTAGCAAAGCTAATAAATAAAGCAATTATTTCATGGGAGTCCTTTAGAAAATGACAGAAAATTAAGCATTCAGGTCACTGGGAAGGCAGGGTTACCTGTGGAATTTTGGAGATAGCCAAATCACACTAAATACCAAAATGGGAGACAAGGCTCAAGAAGTCTGAAAATATCATTGTTATTGCTTAGGAAATATTTAGGGCAAATATAAAAATGAAACTTTTCTCAACTTGCAAAGGACTTGAAGCATAATAATTCCTAAATTTATTTTTAAATAAATAAAGTAGTATCTCTCTACTTTATAAAAAATGTAATATCCATTCAAACATGTATAAATCATATTTATACAAATGTAAGTATGTGCAAATAATCTACATACCTAGTGTATTTCTATTCTTTGTTCTTCACCATCCACTTTTTATCATCTGAACTACTTAATGACAACTGTTTAGAAAGTAATTACTTGGCAATTCCTTGTGTCATAATTTCAAAAAATATAAATATTGATTATATCCTTCAAGTCTTAAATCTAATAGAGAAATCCTGTATGAATAAATACAATTCAATAGTGTGTACTAAGCGCAGAGATTGTGATAGAGTCTCAACGTCAGTTAAATAGATGTGAATGACATGTGGAGGGATGGAAGGAAGAAAATACTTAGCTACATTAACAGCAGATTGCATTAATATTTATAGCAGCATTACTGATAGTGTTGATAGTAGCCAAAATGTAAAAACAAATCAAATGTTCATCAACTGATGAATGGGTCAAGATAAGGTATATCTGAAATGAAATGCTATTCAGTCATAACATGATACAAACTTTTTTTTGAACCACTGATTTTATTTCCCCAAATCAGTGAGGCTTATTATTATTTTTTAAGATTTATTTATTATTCATACATACAGAATGGGGTGCAGCCAGAGGTACAGGGTCAGTGAGAGGTTTCACCAGAGACAGTGGGGAGCAGAACAGGCTGACTGACAAAGTGCACTGCTGAGGGGAGCAGCAGGTGGGTCAGGAGAGGCCTGCTGTGCCATGTGGGTCACCTCTGGGGCTGGTGATTGAAATCACACTGAAGCGGCTGCAGCCAGCTTGCAGTGCTGCATCCTAACCCATTGCGCCACCTGGGAGGGCCCAAAATGATACAAACTTTTGACATTTGCCACAAATGGATGAACCCCCCTGAAAATGTTATCCTGAGCAAAGGAATCTTAATAAAAACTAAAAACAGATAATAGAGCATTATGTTTATATGAGAAGACCAGAACAGGCCAACACATAATATCATACATGTATATGAATTGTATTTCAAAAAATGATAATATAGCAAGATTAGCTAGTGATATTCATAAATATGGCCGTAAAGGAGAATTGGAAGAAACTAAATGAACAACAGAAAGGATCTGGAAGGGATTAGGTGAGGTTCTGTTTGAATTTCATCATTTAATTAGCAGTTTTCTTCATAATATATATTAGTTATCTGGCATATTGAAACTTACTTCAGTCTTTGCTAAGATACTGCATTATTCACTGGGGAATACCTGAACCAGAAATGTAATTAGTGTATGTTTGTATAACACCAAAACCCAAGGCCAGTAGCTTCAGAGATTTAAGTCCCAAATGCCACCTGATAAAATAAAATGCTCTGTGCCTATTGTTCAGCTTCTGAGGACCTGCTCATCTCAAGTAAGTTCTGAGGTCTCAAAAAATAAGGGGAAAAGGAACTTACCTTTTTGAACAAAATGATGTCTTAGTAAAGGAATCATTTGTGTTTGCTTACTCAATTGAATGCATCCTGAAGTTTGACGGTCACTTTATTTTTATTCTTAGTACAGAAAGAATGTGACGGAAATGATTAGTATCAATAAAATAATGTTTTAATTAGTTTATCTGATTACTGGAAGGGTATTAGTTCTCTGTCAGGAGCACGTGGATGCATGAATGTAAGGTATTGCTTCTTTTGTTGAATTTCAAAAGTACCTGAGGCTTCATATGTCAAGAAGCAATATGTGCAGTAACTTCACCTGAACCATACGGCATGCAACTTGTAGAAGCAAGCAGATCACCTACTTTCCAACTGGCATATGTCACATACACGCAAACACCTACAAACAAGTGACATAATACTGACACAGACAGAGAAGCCTGTATACTGAGAAACACTTATTGTCCCAAATACCAGTTCCACTTTAAGATAAAGGTCCATACAAATCCAAATGTATATGTTGCAGATGTATATGTTGTCTACTATTTCCACTAATTTTAGCATTTTTCTTTGCTTAAAAGACCCCCCTCCTTTTATATAGGTGCACACTTGTAATAGGTAATAGGGAAGCTAGGGAAACTGGAAAAGTACACCGTTTTCATGAATAACTTCTAGATTTAAAAGAAAGTTCCTTTACTTAATTCCTCCTGTCCTAGAGTATATTATTGCAATATAGCTTGTGTGGGCTCTTTGAAAAGGCATGACTGGGTTATTTTCTGAGTAAAAAAAAAAAAAAGACATTTGCAAAAGAAAATATTGTTCATCTTAGAGTTTTTCTGTTGAATGGCCACAAAAATTAACCATGTATTTATCATCTTTTCTTGATCATTTTCTCAAAAATTTAGGCAAAAACAAAGAAGAATGGAGAAAGAAAACTGTTCTACCAACATGGAATTCATTTTCTTGGGAATTACTAATAATCCCGAGAAAAAAGTGACTCTCTTTGCCATGTTTCTAGTCATTTATCTCATTACTCTTGTGGCAAATATTGGAATGATCCTTCTAATTCGAATGGACTCGCAGCTGCACACACCGATGTATTTTTTCCTCAGCCACCTGGCGTTCTGTGACCTCTGCTATTCCACAGCGGTTGGGCCCAAGATGTTGGTGGACATCTTTGCCAAGAACAAGTCAATCCCGTTTTTTGGCTGTGCTCTGCAATTCTTTTTTTTCTGTATCTTTGCTGATGCAGAGTGTCTGCTTCTGGCAGTGATGGCCTTTGACCGGTACCAGGCCATTAGCAACCCCTTGCTCTACACAGTCAACATGTCTGGCAAGGTGTGTTACCTTCTGGTGGCTGTGGTTTACACGGTGGGAGTGGCAGACGCTCTAACACACACGACCTTAACCTTCCGCTTATGTTTCTGTGGGTCAAATGAGGTGAACCACTTCTTCTGCGATTTACCCCCACTTTATGTCATTTCCTGTTCTAGTATAGAAGTCAATGAGCTAGCCTTATTCACCGTTTTTGGCTTCATTGAACTGAGTACCATTTCGGGAGTTCTTGTCTCTTACTGCTACATTTTCCTATCAGTCTTGAAAATCCGGTCTGCAGAGGGCAGGTTCAAAGCGTTCTCCACCTGTACCTCCCACCTGACGGCCGTGGCCATCTTCCAGGGCACCATGCTCTTCATGTACTTCCGGCCGAGTTCTGCCTACTCGCTGGACCAGGACAAAATGGCCTCGTTGTTTTATACCCTTGTGATCCCCATGCTGAATCCCCTGATTTACAGTCTGCGGAACAAGGATGTGAAAGATGCCCTGGTAAAACTGAAAACTAAAACGTGGTTTTAAAGGTTTGTGGTATGCATATATACCTATAGCCACACTTAAGTAGCTCTGTTCATAATACTAGATCACATATCTAAGAATGATTAGGATTCTCCCAAATATTACATACACAACTATTTGCTCTAAAATGCAGTGTTATCTGAAAATATTCTCTACAACTATCAGTCATTTGGGTCTTCAATTTATTGGTGTCATGCTATACTTTTAGAACATTTTCTTACCCTCTCACTGCACCATAATTTGCATTTATTTAGTGTCTCCTTTAAACATTATTCCAACTATAGGAAGATTTATTTTTTGTTCACAAAGTGATTCTTGTTCATTTAGGAGTTTTGAATTTCTTGGTGAATCTAGTACTCTCTCAGTGAATGAGTCTTTTTAATATATAAGAATACCCAGTTAACTGAGCACTAAAAAAATTCATAATACTAAAGTCTTTCATGAAGTAAAGTATTGGGTATTCAAATACATAGGAGGATGTTGAAAGCTTGTGAGCAAAAGAATGTCTTCTCTGGTCGAAGATATACTATTTCAGGTATTAAATAATGCTATTTAGAAAAAAGGAAAAGAGTGGACTGTTTTACATATATATACATATATTAGAATTAAGTTTGGCATGGTTAAGTAAGATCATTGGAAAGTCCCTTAATAAATAACATCACTGTGTTTTAACTATAATGTACTCCATAATTTCTTTCAGGAAGATTTCCTTGTTTTCTTCTATAGTCAGGTGTAGTTGAATGATTCTTTTAGTAGTTAGGAGTCAACTATCTTCTTCAGTCACTCATTTAATGTCAACTTGTATATTGAATTATTGCTTACAATGTGAAATTGTGGACAATCTTATTGAAGAACTAAGTGTCCCATTCTTGTTATTTGAAGCAACTGCATAGTCTCTGAGGGCACTAAGGAAAAAAAAAAATCTGTTCATAATTGTTAAGAAAGCGTATGAAATGGTTGTAAATACTAAATAATGGATCTATGCAGACTCACATATTAATTATATGAAAAATAGAATTAATCTGTATATGCCCTTAGTATTTGTGTATTTATTTCCCCTCTGCTCTAGTTTTTGATGGTTAAACTTTGGATCATCATGCTGAGATAATATGTATGTGGGCATACATTTTAAAGACCATGTAAGACTCAAAGATACTCAATTATCCATTGCAATTGCAGACACTAAAAATCCTGAATTGGTTATGTTTATAGTAGCTGAAAGGCCTAGAGTGAAAGCATTTTAGAATGGAATTACAGCCCAAAAAGGTTCTCTGGGTTTTAAAGGAACATCTGTGGGACATTGAACTGTATCATGCTGGCAAATAAGCAAACAAACAAAACAACAAAAATATGAAGGCTATTTTTTTAGTTGTTGTTTTGGTAAAAATCTTTAAAGGCTTCCAACTACATTTCCTCAACTGAACATACCCTTAGAGATGTTATGTATGATGTGCTTGCATACTTTAAAAATTGCAACTGAAGTTCAGCCCTTAATCTAGCATGTTTTAGGGACTGGCTGGGATCCTTCCTGGAAGGCAGGAAAGACTGCTGACATCTGCTCCACTCTCCCTCCTCCCTGCCCTTAGTTACTGCGGAAGGGGAAACAAGATCTAAATACAAAAATAAGTAAACTTAAAGACAAATGTATGATGACCAAGGAAAGAGGAAAGGGGACGACAGATGGTGAGCGATATAACTGGGTACCAAGGGGTGAACATAATATGTCCACACATGCTGGTTCCTCACAATGCGCTTGAAACTTGAAGTGGTAATGTCACTTTAATAAGAATAATCTCATATAAAAAAGCTAACTTCCCACCCCTATGAACTAGGAAATTAGATAATTCAAGACTAAATTTAATAAAAGGAGTGAAATAACAAATTCAGAGCAGAAACAAATACAATAGTGACTAAGACCATCAAAAGAATCTGTCTTTCTGTGATATCTGCTACTCTTCCTCTGTCTTCCTAAATGCTGGCAAAAGAGGATCCCATACAGTGTTTGTGCCATGCAGATGTATTTTGCAGAGATGGAGTGTCTGTTGTCTGCCATGGCTTATGACCGGTATGTAGCCATTTGCAACCCACTTCTGTACACAGTCGCCATGTCCAGGAGACTCTGTGCCCAGTTAGTGGCCATCACTTATGTGGTCGGCTTGGGTGCTGCAGTCTATACCACTTTAACTTTTAAATTGTCATTCTGCAATACCAGTATCATCAATCACTTCTGATATCCCACCCTTGCCGGTCCTCTTCACCTCAGACTCGGCCTTCCATAAGATACAGTTGTTCATTCTGGGGAGCAGCATCATTACTATGCTCCTCTCCTACAGCTACATCATCATTACCATCCTGAGAATGAACTCAACAGAGGGGAGACGCAAAGCCTTTTCCACGTGTGTCTCACACTTGGCCACGGCTGTGTTTCACGGCACACTGCTGTACATGTACTTTCAACCCAGCTCGAGTTACTCATAGACACAGACAAAATGACACAGTCCTCATCCCATGTTAAACCCACTCATCTACAGCCTAAGGAGTAAGGGTGCTCTGAAGAAAGTAATTAGTACTAAATTATTTCTAGTAAACCTTGTTATTTTGGTCAATAGTACTTATTCTTGGCCCTCCCTGGTGGCGCAGTGGGTTAAAGCACAGCACTGAGAATCTGGAGCCGCTTTGGCATGAGTTCGATTCCCACCTGCCCCGGAGATGACCACATGGCGCGGCAGACCTCTCCTGACCCGCCTGCTGCTCCCCTCAGCAGTGTACTTCCTCGATCTGCCTGTTCTGTTCCCCACTCTGTCTCTGGTGAAGCCTCTCACCACCCCTGAGCCTCTGGCCTGTACCCCAGTTCTGTATGCACAAATAAATAAATCTTTAAAAAAAAAAAAGTACTTATTCTTGAGTTAAAATTTACTTTGGCATATCTTTCTTTAGTCTCACCAATATAACATTCATTATATTTAACATACTACAGCAGCATTTAGTCTAGGGAGCACTCTTTATCTTAATCTTCTTTCAATATGAAAAAGAATGGTAGTATATCTGCTTTGAAATGCAGATAGGATATTTTTTGTTCCCTTCTCTTTTATGTGTATATCCTAACTATATTCATATCACCTTATAAATGATCCAGTCTACCCTCTTGGAAATATATTGTAGTAGACAGAGGAGTAAATGAGATGACTTTTATCTGAACATAATGGTCCACAAACTCAGGGCTAGTTACAGAGTTTAGCCCTACAATGCTAGAACATTTATTGGATAAAAGAATACATGTTCCCTGCAAAAATGATGCAAAATAGAAAGCATCTTTGTAAATATAACCCTCAAATCCCTTTACTTTATGCTATTCTAGTATTTTCATCTTAGATGAAATTTACCTAGGTTTCTTGTTTCTGGCCCAGGCTGAATAAAGATCAAGGATGGAGGTCATTTGATGCTGAGAATTTCTCAGATCCATTATTCCTTACCTTTAAGGCTTCAGGAGAACATTTGTTCATCATTCTGTATATCACTGTCATTGTCCTGGCTCTGGAAACCAAATATGGCACTATTGACATTGGCACTTAAATTGTATAAATGGTCACTGGGAACAAAGACTGGACCTTCTCCAAAGACCACAGGAAAAGAAGACTTAATTTCCTTTAATATCACCCTGTTCATTTTTTTAAGTAATTTAAAAATTCTCAACGGATAGATTTTAACTTGTAAAAGAAGTTTTAATAGGTTATATGCCCAATAGAATAAAACATGGAACACGGTAGTATTTATATTAACATCCATTTGTAATGATTTATTTCAGCTCCGTGTATCTGAGAAATACTAAAACCTTAGTCAAATCACATTTTTATACTTATCATGGCTGAGTCGCTGTATGTTAGGTAACCATAAAATATATTCTGATAATGGAACTAATGCCATATTATTTACTCATTTTAATCAATTATGATCCAATTATGAAAAATATAACATAATTTCATGTCCTCAATGGTATTTTTTATTTAGTTTTCAAAATATGAACATCAAGGTACTTTGTTTCTGTTTGAATTCTATTTTAATTTTAAGAAAATGTTAACAAGGTTAAGTGCTGGGCTTTGTAGTGAGAGAGGTATGACTTCATATCAGTTATATATTGTCAGCTATTTTCTGGTAGATAGTGACCATTTAACCTAGGGCTAATAATTTTATTAAATCTCAATTTCCTCATGTCCTTAATGTCAGGGTAACATGTTCAGTATAAGAAGTTACAAAGGCAAACATAATGTCATACATGTATATTAATTATATTTTGTAAAATAAAAATATACCATTAGCTAGTAATATTCATTAACAAGGTCATGAAGTAGAATATTTTAAATTGGAACAAACAAAATGAACAATAAAAAGGATCTAGGAAGAGTTAAGTAGAATTCTATTTGAATTTCATTAGATAATTAGAGATTTTTTTTTTACAATATATATTAGTTAGATGTTATATTGAAACATTAACACTCAGTTTTTGCTGAAGTTGTTGCTGTACTCACTGGAGAATATCTAAATCAGAGGTGCAGTTAATGACAAGATTGCATAATAGCAAAGCTCAAGGCCAGTAGCTTCTGTGATTTCAGTCCCAAATGCCACCTGATAAAATAAAAGCCATCTGCCTATTGTTCATCTACCTAAAACCTCCTCATCTCAGGTAAGTTCTGAGGTCCCTGATTTAAAAAAAAAAAGTGGTGGGAGGAGAAAGTTACCTTTTTGTAGTAAGAATTAAGAGATTAGTAAATTAATCTGAAATGTAATGATCACATATAATTTTTTATTCTTAGAACTCAAAGCATCTGTTAAAATTAGTATCCACAAAATAACATTTTTAGTAAATTTAAGATACACTTTCTGGAAGGTCTTTATTCATTCCATCAACTAAGAGGCAAGTATATGCAGTGTAAGGTAAGGTTTTTTGGTTTTGTTTAATTTCAAAAGTAATTGAGGTATTACATGGCAAGTAACCATATGTGGAA